AATATATTCATGGAAAACTCGAAATAAGTATCGATTGGAATATTTTTATTTGGGCGAAGGGCAATTGGAGGGACATTTTGCAGTCAACTCCTAATTAGAACACATCGTCATTTTTTGCGCCTCCGCTGAATCGTTTTAATAAAGCTTAATTTTTAATAATTAGTTTGTATTTCTTCAAACGTAGGCTCTCACATTCTCGTGACGTAATTTATGTTCTATTAATCGTGGCAGGAGTCGACGTATCGATTGTTACAAATGACAAGATTTCGTGCGACGGGTTAATAATGCACGTACGCGTGTGACGTTGAATGAGCGGAATGATAATTGAACGAGTTAATTAGAGGCGACACGGGACACGCGAGTCGCGCATGCCGCGAATTATTTCCGGAAATATTCACGTTCATCTTTCCATACGGTGTTCAAGTACGCGGGTGGGGACAGAATGTACGAGACGCAGTGCTAACTTTTTGTTATCGCATTATCCGCACGAATCTCCGAGCGATACCCGGCGAACTTTTAAGGGTTTCTTCACACGACGAATTCATGAATTAACTTCGCCAAATGGAGATATACACAGCATTCTTTCAACTTATCCACCTCATAAATCTCAATCGTTTAAAACTTTTTAAATCCTATTTGCTTTCTCATATTTTAAATACTTCAGAGAATACATTTAAGCAGTCGAAGTGAAGTAAATAAAACTGAAGAAAGAATAGAATAAATTCAAGTTATCCGGTAGAGTTTAGTAGAAAAGATGTGAAAACTCGGAATACTTCAGTATACGACGTTGTTCCAAGTTTATCATTAATATTATGTACGAATTTTATACAATATTGATAATATACTAAAAACTAAGTTGGCAATCTTCATTTCCGTTCCAAAGGCTTTACTTTGTTCTCGTTACGAGAAGTTCTCTGAAGAAATTCAAAGTATGACTAGAACGTGGAAACTCCTGACGATATCTTTCACACTCGAATCGTACTTGAAACATACTCCATGGCCAATTAGAGGTAACTTCTATCGTGCAACAGCATGAAATCCGTGAGGATAATGAGAGAAGGTATCGAACAAGTTAAATCGACCAAACTTCTTCTCTTGGTCACTATTACTCCGTTGACCCTGAAGGTAAAATGTTTCATTGAAGCTCGCCACGTAAAGGGGTTTTAATAATGATGCCATCAATCCACCCCCCATCGAGGGGTAGAAAGTCGATGAAACTTCAAAGAATGAGTATTTGGGAAATACGCATTCAAGCCTTATTGTACCTATCGCCAAGTTTTGAATTATAGGTAAAAGAAGAAGAATATTGAAAGAATTTTGGAATAACTAGGATAATTAAATAAGAAAAGTCCTATGATATTTTTTAAAGTATAGCTGAGGCACTTAAAACAGGCCATCTGAATAACTTGGCTCTTATTGATGACAGGAAAAAATTAGTATCGAGGGGATTATCTGGTGTTACTAGTTTCTTGATAAGTGGAAGAGTCAAGGAAACATGAATTACTCTATACACATAATTCCATTTAAAAAACAGGGATGACCTTCATATCTGCTTGACGCCTCCACCTATCAAAAAACTAGTAACACCAGATGATCCCCTCAATACCAAATAATTTTGACCCTGTTTTCCTGTCACCAATAGGAGTCACGTTATTCATGTGGCTTATTTTAAGTTCCTCACCCTGTATAATGAATCAATTCAGATACTTAAGAAACTTAACTTTTAATAAACTAAGTAATCAACTATTTTACGTTTATTCGTTTTAATCGTTCTTCCTAGCTATTCTAAACAGAAAATTGAACTGGGCTACAGTTGGCGAAAAACCATTAGGTAACTCGTTTAGTTGCTTAAAAACGAAATCAATGACACAGGATATCGTTTGTCCCAGTTTTCGGTAAACGGCGAAGTGTTACGACCATTAAATTGGGTTGCTCGAGCATAGCTATCGTTGCCATAAAATTGCCCGAGCCGATATTACCTTGATTCAATTGAACCCGTCTATAAAAATCTAATAGTGGTATGACGTAGAAACGCGATCGAACAATTTATTCAAATGGGAACGATTAAACGAATGGAACCGTATCGTGACTTCCATCGTTCACGAGCATTTCAGATTTAAACAAAATTCCAAAACTCATCTTTCATTGGTTTAAGTAATTTAAAAGGCTTCATACAATCGACAGAT